CTTCTTAAGTTTCCAGCAATCTTGGATAACATGATTATCCTTCTTGCAATACCTGCAAAAGAGACCTCCTCCTCCAGCTTGTTCCTCTTTGGAACCTCTGTCCTTAGAGTTTGAGTTATAAGGAACCCTAGAAGCAACCAGGCAGTTGCAAGAGCAATTGTTTCCTCAGACTTTCCAGTGTTAGCACTGGCTCCATTCAACTGTCTCTCCAGTTGAATCGCAGAACGATAGATGCTATCAAGATCTAGAAGGGGCTCAAGCATCAACATCTGAGTCTTCACCTGTTGGTATTTCTCATTCAAACCCAGCAAAAACTGGATAACCTTCTCTCGTTCTTTATACATCATAACAGTCTCATAAGTTCTCAATGCACAATCACAATATGGAATAGGTAAATAACAATCACGCTCATCCCACAACAACTTCAAAATCAGTATAGTACTGCCTAATAGACATATCCCCTTGCTTGGTTAGGTCAACCTTTTCCTGTAGATTTGCGATTCTCATAGAATCACCTTGACTGAACTTAGATTTGAGGTATTTCCAAGCCTCATAAGCAGTTTTGATGTTCCTGAGACTAGGAACGATATCTTCTGCAACAGAGTTTCTAATCCAATAGACAACGATGCCATTCCCTCTATCCCAAGTGCCATAACAAGGATCAGTGATATCTGGTACCTGAATCGAACCTAGGACGAAACCCAGCTTGTTCTTGGTGCGGAGAGCGACCTCCATAGACTCACTCCACAGGAGGTCGTTGTCGTCATTGAGCTTGAAACTGATCACTGGCAACGATGAATTGTCACTCGGTGCCAGATAGAACGGATTACTGTAAGGATCTTCGTAGCGAGGAGGAACAAGGACTTCCTTCTCACCCTCAGATCCCTCTGTACTACTGCTATCATCCTTGCCAGACATTGTTGGAGATCAGCAGGTTTTGACGATGGAAGAAGAAGAAGAGAAATGGGTTTTGTAGAATCAAAAGAGAGATCAGGTAATCAGTAGCCAACCAGGCTCTGATACCATGTGAAAGATTTAACCTAGCTGCAAAGAATGCTAGGGTTTGCAAAAGAGATAAGAGCAGCCTTGTGGTAAATCGGCGGAATGCTTTCTTCCTCTGTGGGTTTTTCATATATATATCAGAGAACACTGTACATTAACGGTAAAGAAGAACGATTAATTAAACTAACCTATCAACTAGTGCCAAGTGGCTAAGCAACGTTTAAATGTTCTAACTAATCACAACCTATCAATACTGCGTCGTTCTGCTTTGTGGAGTGTATACCTCTTAAGGAAAACGACGCTGTTCTGAGGTCACCAACTGTTTACCAAGCAGAGTAAAAGGAAGCTCTGCTCAGCTCGCCTGTTCTTCCTCCTGCAACATCTCTGAAGATCTGCAGCAGCTGGTGATCAAGGAAACCTCGCTTCACAACTCTATCTATTGAACTCCATTCTATTCGTCATGGATTGATATCGCAGTTGAAATCTTTTACTTGCCTAACTTAAATCCCCAATAATAAAATCGTAGTGCCAAGAGATACCAAAAGATTGATTTCAAAGGCTGTTTTGTATTGGAAAGTGAAAGGGGTACAAACTATTGCACGATAGAGGAAATTTCGGAGGAAGTTAAAGAGAAAAGAACAATAATAAAAAAAGCACTAAATTTAACTTTAAATTGAAAATTTCAAGTAAACCAGTGTGTTTTCTGTCGTGGCCATTGGATCATTACACTCATCACCTTGACATCCGCCGATGTTGGCCCTCTAACCACCGAACCTGGTGATTTCGATTCCACTGCGTCCAACCGAGCTTTGGTCGGAGACTAAAGAGGAAGAGATAGATCGAACCAAACCGGAGATGGTGTGCTACTATTGGGAAGAGGATTGAAGTTTTTTTTATGGCTCATGCATCAGTCGAAGAAGAAGGGAAGTTCTAGATGGGGAAAATAAGGAAGGAAAGAGAGAGATTAAGATGGGTGGATGGGAAGAGATGGGCAACAGATTTGAGATGGGAGCCCTCTGAACTCTTCCTTCCCAAATCACAAGCATGCAACGTTTTCCAAGAAACTTGCCCAACGTGCCCTGCTGACAAATCCACCAAAGTTGTTGGCTGAATACCGATAACCCATCAAGAAGAGCAAAGTTAAACAATGGAAAACTTGAATCCACATAAAGCAAAAACTATTCAGCAAGTGAGATTTGAGGGGTAGCAAAGTGAGCAGATTTCACCCCCCCAAATGCAGGCCAAGATGGCAGTATCGGAGTTGAGTTTGGAGAGAGTTCGGTTGAAACAATGCATGGGAGGGAGCTCAGGATTCCGCCGACAGTTTCCGAGGCAGCCAGCGGTTTGTGGGCGAAGGTATTTAGGATTCGAAAGTTCCGTCAAGTAAGAGTAAGGTTTTTGGGACCGGACCAAATTGGTTGGGAGGAAGGTATGTAGAGGTCTCTGAACATGGGTACAGAGAAGTTGTTTGGATCTTGAAGAGGTTCTTTGGAGTATGGGTTACATAAAGTGGTACAGTTTCTCCATGCTTGAGGACTTGCATATCACCTCCTGCTGAACTGATTTCCCGTTACCTGTGAGCTAGAGAGTGTTTATCGTAGGGACCAAAAGATTACGCCAGTCGAACACATAATTATGGTAATGGCCGTTCAAATTGGTTGTCCAGTTAATGATTTGGTCGTGGTCGTTCAAGAGCATCATAATTGTGGCAGTGACTCTTAATAATCAAGTACCTATGGTGATGGAATGCCATAGAGAATGTAATAATTGTGGAGGAGGATGAGTGCGTGATTATTAAAGAACCAGAAATTGAGCACAACAAGGACAAAATCAGTTAGAAAGTCCCAAGCAGATAGAGAATGCTGATGAGATGAAACACCCAGTAACCCCAGTTATGAAGGTAAAGAAGAGCCATTGACCAGCTGTTTTTATTCTTTCGTTGTCTTTGTTTGTTTGTCCTGTTCTTTTTTCTTTTATAATACTAGATTGTTTGTCCAACAATCAGGAACCTGTTGCTGAACAAGAAGATGTGGATTTACCAAGTCACAGGTGCGTAGCGTTGTGGTTTACTGTAACTTCTTCCTAATACTTATAATTTAGTATAAGGAAATTGGAAGCAATATTGTTGTCTTGAGTTACACTCTTTCATGTAATGGAGAAGGTTGATGTTAATTCCAGTGGTCATATGAAACAATTTCACACATTTTTAGCCCACTCAAAACTTTTGAACCTACACCAATCTTCACTTTGTCGTTACCTAAACTAACCATAATACGATGATGCCCCACAACTTTAGTTCTACGCCGTCGCGGACATTGATTCTAGTATTAACTAACTGAATGGAATATACATTCATACCTTTGATGTACAAGGGCCTGTTTCTGTTGTTAAGTGGGATGAACCCTGTTTGCTATGTCCGATTGGTGGAAAGGGGACCTTATAATCAGTGGTGGTGTAGACTCAAAGCTTTGGATTTCTTCTAGAGTTCCCGATGCTTTGGAGAAAAGTCACTGATTTTCTCGGAGTCTGAGAGGAGCTGAGTTAACAGTACCATATGAACGCAGCAATCTCCCAGTGTTTTGGTTTGTAGTTACAATGTATGCAGCAATCTCAGCTATGGCATTGTTCTCTCTATCCAATAGGTCATTGCGGGTATGCTAATGTAACTTGGGCGAACATTTGATGGGCGGATCGTTACTTATCCAGTATTTTTAATATGAAATATTTGAAACAAATATTTGTTGATTGGCTTTTATTTTTCCGTTGAACGTTACAACTGTGCTCGAGCCTTTCAAGGAGGTAGTGGCTTTTTGTGAAAACGCCCCATTTGGCATTGGCTTGTTAGATGGAGTTGATCAGATCAATGAACATAATGTCAGTCGTCAGATCAGACCCTTTGCATGCAAATTCTGGAACAGAGAAATAGGGGTGTGAAATTGAAGAGAAATGAAAGCATGGGGGAAAAGAAGAATATATTTGGTGTAGTGTGGGGCGCTGATTACAAAAAGTTGATACTTTATGCATTAATGGTATGGCAGTCAATTCCGTTACCGAATGACCCATAGAACCAGAAATTTTACTAGTTTTGGTGGGGGTTGGCCCGCAGTTATTGGGCTAAACGCGTCGTACAGTTGCCGCTGGGGTTGGGTGCATCGAAATAAATTGAAGAGAGAGAAAGAGATAACGCATGAGAAGGACTCTTCGAATGAATATGGTTTCCCTGCCTGCCTCGTTTGCTGCTTCTGCTGCGGCTTCGTCTCTCGCATGAAGCCCTTCTCTATGGATGAATTGGTTTTGGTTCAGTTTCGATGCAATTCAACTTCCAACTTCGTTGCCTCTAGCCATAGAGATCCAGCCGCAGCAGTAGGAGCCAAACAATATCATGGTTCTTTTGTGTTGGGAGGGATTGGGATCCATCTGATTTGTACAAAGGATTCTTTGGATTCTTTGATCATGTGGATGCTTTCTATATCTTCTCAATTCATTCATCCTCCTGCTTTTCCTAAGTTTTGTCCTTTTTCATCTTATTGAAAGTATTCGATCTCTCTTGTTTTGATTAGATCTAACATGTGAAGAAAGTGCATACGGATATCCTATTGGTTTGCATTCAATTTATTCATCCTCATGCTTTACCAAAGGTTTGTCCTTTTTCCTCAGTTAACAGTCTTGGTTCATTCTCTCTTGTTTTGCTTCTTAGATCCAAGATGTGAGGAAGGTGCATCCATAGAGCTTGAATGGTGTTATGGGGTTTATGTTTCTGGAGGATAAAGTTGTTGGACTTTCTCCAATTTCCAAAAACTCTGTTATTGTGCCTTACGCTGATTCAAAGTTTACTCAGATCTGTGACTGGTTTGTTTTCACAATAGTTCAATCTTTCGAGCACTCTGTTTTGTCAATCTGTCAGTTCTTTAAGTCCTTCATTGATTCTACAATGAATGAACACTAGGTTAAAAGAAAGTAGGTCCTTCTGTAGCATAAAGGCTTTGCATTTGGCACATATTTTTCTGGTTTAGAGGAGGATTGATATTGTGTTGACCTGTTATTTTTTGTTGACTCTAGCAACCAAAAAGACTCTACTGCCAGCCGAGACTGGGATTACTGCTGCATTCTCTGACTGCTTGTACTACTCATTTGGATCCATGGCTATAATTCTCCAAGCAACCGCGAGAGGGTTATTCAGTATGGAATGGACTATTTGGTTCAAAATTGGTGCCTTGCCAGCAAACCTCATGCTCTGTGTTTTTGGAGCACATAGAAATGTTGGGATAGCGAGAGAGCAACACTAAGGGAGTCAAGATCTACTTTACAAATGAGCCATATCATACATATTAGCCATATCATCCATATTGGTGCAGTTGAGTCACTTCCTCTTCCCTACCAAGATTACAGTTTAAGGGAGGCATATCGTGGCTTAAAACAAAAACAGGCATGGCATCTCAGAATCAACAGAAGGCTGAACCTTTTATACTCCATCAGCAGAGAAATCAGCTTTCAAAAGGAAAAAAACCTCACCTCACAAAGAATCTGGCATATTTTCTAAAGATGGGAATCCGTTCATTGCTGGTAGACAAAGCAGAAGAAGACAGTACCTGAATGTTGTTCTCTCTGTACATTGCCGCAGCAACACACGTGGATGAGTTGATTGATAAAATCAGACTCGGTTTCATACAGCAGCAGAAACAATACTAACGGTTTCATCCAGAAGCAAAGGATTTCATCTATCTCGATCATGGTGGATCTTCCTCTCCAGTTTCGCATACTTGATTGATCTGCTGCTTGCAACATGGGCAGCTAGGTGTTTTGCTTGTGCTATCCGTAGGACTTTGTTGGCAAATTCTCACCTTAAGCAGCAGCAGCTTGGCTGAACAAAGGCAACAGTGAGAGTTCATTCATCACTTAACAAGGCTTGTTGAAGCTGTTGGGGTTTTGTTGGCCGACAGAGACATTATGGTCAGCCTGCATGCATAGCTTGGCTGGAGATGATCGAATGCTGTCCTTTCAGAGGATTAGAGATTTCATCTCGCAAGCTCCTGGAGTGGGATAGTGTTCCTTGTGGTGTGGTTGGTGAAGGGTAGTCCTAGCTATTGAGGTAGATGGGTTGCATCCTCTCTTTCATGAAAAATTCCAGTTGGGATTCTGAATCTTCGGCTGCATTGGATCTCTCACTGAAAATATTAAAGGGGTCTTTTCCATATGAGAATTTGTTTGAAGGGTTCCATTGTAGGGTGTGTTCCAAGAGAGCGGACCAATTATAAGAGAAGCAACAAGTGATAAAAGGACATATCTCTGAAGCATGCGGCTCAATTGGTCTCAATCTAGCTCATTTAATACTTGTCTAATGATATATGGCGAGCGGATGTTCTGGGAGATTTCGGTCAAGTTCGGGAGAGAATACTTTAAAATTGGATATCTCAAGGCAGAGTCTATAGTGCTCACGATGATTTATCATCTCCAGAAGACCATTAACCATGAGGAGACTCGCAAAAAAGCAACAGGTACTCCTATGTACTTATCAAATTGAATACATCGCTTGGTAGATGATGATTAGAAAGTTAGTTTGCAATGGCTCATGTAATAACATGAAGATTGAATATCTGGAATGTTGTTCTTGATAGGTGATTGTTAGAAATCTCATTTACGAAGGCTACCACACCGAGAAGCTAGCTAGGTTACTAACAAAAGGGTCAATTACGTTTGATATTTAACAAAATGGTTGTCTTAATTTATAAAGAAAAACCACAGCGAGCTTCTAGGTAGGTTACCAACAAAGTCATAGGTGATTGTTTCAACGATTTACTATGGGCCCAGTAGCAAAATGTTTGATTTTTAACAGCTAAATTATACGTTTGTATAACTCAAATTATACGTGTTATATCTCAGCAATTTTTGAGATAGTTGAGTTGAGATTGTTTTGTCTCAGCTTTTAGCTAATGTGACATACACAATCACGCATATCAAACGTTGTATGTTATACATGCATAATATTATACATGCATTCAGTATGATACATCTATTTAACAATCGAACTTCCAAACGAAACCCTAGTTTCTAATTAGTGAATTTGCATCTGGTTGGTCTCAATGTCCCCGTCTGGGCCAGTAATGATAATGGGCCAGGTACTATTTCGATATTCATACTCGCTTTGTAGCAGGTTGAGTCCAAATCAGATAATTTATCACGGGACATGGATCATAACAGGTCGACCTGTATAAATATATAATTTAAAAGGAAAACATTAGAAATATTTAATTTTTTCATTAAAACCTCAAGAACCAAGAAACAAAGTATAATATGATAATAATAATTAAATTATTCGAGAAACTCAAAAAGGGGGTCATATCACGCAGAGTACCCATGTTTGCCTTGTCCAACCTACAAAGCGGGTATTACTCGCTCTAAAACAAGTCAAACAGGTCGTGTAAAAGAATCAGATCGAAATTGCCGTCCCTAGTATAAACGCTCATATTAATATTAAGAAAAACAACTGGTTATATCTGGTCAAACATAGGGCTGCAAATGAGCCGAGCTACTCGCGAGCGGCTCGGCGCTCGACTCAGAAAAATCTCGTTTGAAACTCAGCTCGTTTACTAATGAGCCGAGCTTGAGCTTAGCTTTCTGCAGCTCGCGAGCTAGCTCGACTCGGTTTCTTGTTGAGCTCAACTCGTGAGTTCACTCGTTTAGAGCTCATGAGATGTCTCAACTCTCAACATTGTGGCTAGAGTGCCAACTCGATTGCCTAATTATGAGCGAATCGATTTATATGAGTTTGATTTTGTTAATTCATATGATTGTTAAATTATATATTTCACCATATATGAAGCTTAACACGTAGATTATGTGAGCAAATATGCCTTAACTAATTTTAAAATTATGTATCATAAAGTGTTTCGATAGTACAAAGTAACATAATTTTCACTAGTTAAAATTTATTAACTAAATAATTTGATACCACAAAGTATAACATGAGATTAATTTAATATTGAACACGTACCTATTATTATTATTATGATTTTCATTTTGACATTAATCACATGTATGATGTATAACATATAGAATGAATATGTCAAATACGAGTCATGATTTTATTAAACAAGCTAGTTTGAACTCGACTCGACTTATTAATAAACGAGCAAAGCTCGAGCTCAACTCGTTTATTAACGAGCCGAGCTCAAACTGAGGTAAAAGTCGACTCGACTCGACTCATTTACAGCCCTAGTCAAACATCCGTCCAACCCACCTTGAACAGAAAAAAAAAAAAAAAACTCAATTCATAATAGCCCTTCCCTGCCCTTTTCGTCTAAAGTGGGTGGGGCAGATTTTAGTACACTCATTCGAAAAGTAAACCAGCTGCTAGCCCTAAGTTCGCATTTACAGAGAGAGGAGCTCTTTTTCTTCTTCTTCTTCTTCGAGGAGGGATCGAGAGGGGAGCAGGCGGAAACGGCGGGAGAAGGTGGTGGTGTAGCAGCAGCAGTGGCAGAACTTCCATTCCGCCATACGCTAGCCCTAAGTTTGCATTTACAGAGAGAGGAGCTCTTCTTCTACTACTGTGAGTATATCAACCTTTCTAATTTGTTCCCTCGGCCTGTTCTTTCTGCTGCTCAGTTAAGAATTAGAGGAATAATCCATGTCTATGTGCCGATTCCATTTATAAATGACATGAACACTAAGGTTCTAGCTTGAGGCACTTTTCATTCAGAAAATCTGCTAACCCTAAGTTTGCATTTACAGAGAGAAGATCTCTTCTTCTTCTCAACATTTTTAAATTGTTCCTTCGATCTGTTCGTTCTGCTGCTCAGTTAACAATTAGACGAATTTCTCCTGCCTGCCAAGGGGAATGCTACTGTGAACTCATTATCATTCCTCTGCCTTCAAATTTCCTCTGGGAATCACAACTACTGCCAAATTCACTCAACTAAAGGAAACAAAGGAGAACCAACCCATCACCATTAAATCCTCTTCTAGTTTCTTATAAGCCGAGTGGAGATCAGAAAATGAATATAGCAGTTTCCTGTTCCCTCCACACCAGAATGTTAATGATCCGATCTTCTCTTTCTTTCATTTCCATGTTAACTACTTGGTTTGATGCAAAGATTTGGTCAAACCTATACACTAAAGCTTGTGTTTCTCGGTCTCTAATTCTTACAACAAGGACTACTCACTGTCCTTGGTTCTCACAATAGAATAAAAGTGAGCAACCGAATCATACCTTGATATGTGCATGTAGCAGCGTCTGGCGCTGTTGGTGCAAATCTTGACACCAAGTTCTTCCGTCTGCAGCACGGTTCTTCTACTGTCCTTGATTCTATCTATTTAGCCTATCTATTTCTCTTATTGACATAGTCAATCTTTCTCTTTGATCTCCAGATACCTCTAGCACCATTAAACCAACCCATGAGCAAAACCTTGCTATCAACATAAAACACACAGATAATCTTACAACAACGAACAGATGCTCGCATGTTCCTAGACAAAATCTTCATTTATAGGATTTCCCTCGTCCACCACCTCTTCCCCCTTCTTCCCTTTCTTAATATTCTTAGTTGGAGATCAATCCAAATCCAAATATTCTTAGACCAGATCAAGACCGGACTGTATCCAATCCAATCTTCGGTCCTTATATTTTCAAAAAGACCGGACTGTATCCAATCCAAAGTATCCAAATGCCTCCCTAGAATCCCTCTGCATCAACAACAAGATCTCGGTCGAGCCCCATGCTCGCTATCACCTTCCTTGCTTTCTCCCCGCTAATGCGGGGTTCCACAATCACTACTATACTCGGGTTGTATTTCCGTCGATATTCCCGAAACACTCGCAGGAAGCGCTTGCCTCCTGCCCCTCTACAGTTCCATACAAAGACTCGTGTATCCATTAAAGACATGTATGGCTGTAGGGCGAGTAAGGCATGCTACTTTGCGAGGGGCGGAGCCTCTTTTTGCGGGCTCCCCACCTTCGATAACTCGTCAACGACTCTCAACCTCTGTGTGCTAACTTCTTGTCTCTGACTTGTGATCATGTTTGCCTCCTAGTTATGTAGCTGAAAGTCCCCGACACAAGATGCCTCCGCAGCCACCGGGGCGGACGGATCTGGAGGCTTCGGGGGGCTCCTGCTGGGGTTACCAGAGACGGTGAGTTCTTGGTTTGGTCGTCCACTGTCATCGACCTCTCCTTCGTGATGTTATTGCTGGGCAAATCCCCATCAGGATTCATTATGACAGCTTCTTTCTCTTTCCCTTGGACGTCCACTGCATGGGGAGCTAGGTCCTTAGCTACTAATTTCTCACTCACTTGCTGATTGGTTGGTTCCTTCATGGGGGTTACGACATCGTGTTGTGGAGTGTGTGGGGTATAATTATTCTGTTGATCTCGGCTTTTCTCCACCCATACCTGCCTCTGCCCCTGGTTCCGAGTGTTGGCTACTGGTCGGTGATCTCTGTGGTCATCAATCGTTCCCCTCTGGCTACTAACAGCCATTTCTTCCTCTCTTTCCTCTGCCAAAGCCTGGAACCGGGACCCAGAGGTGCGGGGGTCTATATGTTGTCGCTGTGTACTAGTCTTCCCTCCGTACCCTCCCGTACTCTTATTTCCATTTAGCCGTCTCTCTCTACGTTTCGCAATCATCCATTCCCCGTAAGGTTCGTCGCGCTTGGCTCTCTCCTGTCGCGCAGGGTCAATGTTTTCTTGGGTCGAAGTCTCAGTATGCAGACTAGGGCAGCGTGCCAGTGAATGGCCATATTTTCCACAGCTGAAACAGACATTAGTCAGCCCTTCATATTGAATATCATACTCAACACCTTCCACTTTGAATTGTGAGAGTAACGGTTTCGTGAAGTCAACCTCCACACAAACCCTTGCAAACTTCGCTCGGGCACCCGTTTCAGTAGCCCGGTCAAGCCTGACTGGCCTTCCCGCTCGACTAGCAATACGCAGGACCGCTTCCGGGTGGTAGAGCTCGATCGGTAGGTCCGGTAATTGAAGCCAGACAAGGGTTGATTTTATATCGTTCGTTCTAGGGTTAAAGCCCTTCTTCCACTGGCACGTCGTGATGTAATGATCACCTAGCATCCAGGGTCCCCCCATCAATGCGTGTTCGTAGTCTAGCTTGTTCGTAAACCTCACATAGTAGTACCCGTATCCCCTGTTCGTAACCTGAATAATACCGTTCCTTGCCCATAACATGTTAAGCCTTCTCGCCACCACCGGGTATGGGAACGATCTTCCCAATATCTTCACCACAATCGCCGAGCGCCACTCACGTCTGTACTTCCGAAACTCAGCAGCAGTAAATGGAATAGATGGACAGCGTGGGTTATCCTCTTCCATGGTGGCCTCATCCCGATCATCTTCGCGCATCGCCTCAGCAACATCTTCCGAGTCCGAGTCCGCCACATACCACTCGACTTCTTGAACAACCTCACTGAACAATTTCCGTCTCCCTTCTCCCCATGCCATCGGCCTCGGTGCTGGGTTTGGTGATTGGCTACAGTCCGGGAACTTGTTGGCTTGTGGCGGTGGCGTCCCCGACTGGGGAGTATGGTCAGTATCTTCCTCCGTCCCTGTTAAATCTTCTACGATCACCTCATCCATGTCTTGGTTCTTGTCTTGGAACTCTAGGCCTCGAACCCTCTTTTTTGGATGTTGCGCTTCCTTGGCTTTCTTGCCATTCGGAGAGGACGACAGCTCCGGCGGACGACGGACACCCGCAGTAGGGTCCGGTGGCTTGGGGTCCCCCTCAGGCGGAGGGGAGGACGGCCCCGCGGCCGCCATCAAGTTGCCGACGGGAACTTAGTGGAGCATACCCTAATCGTCGATTTCCTGGCCACCGAGAACTTCGGAGCAAAGTCTTCACTCCTATTGATACTATACTTGGTCCCTCATGTACCATCCATTGATTTCCTGCTTAAAATTCGGTTATCTTTTTTTTTTTTAATACTTTCAAGAGATATATCATGAACTTTTATATGTGAGTTTAAATAATTCTTATTATGTCAAAGTCTCAAAGTGATTTTGTGTATTATATATTTACTTATAGAGGAAAGTTAGAGTGTATACGTTTGAGCATATTCTAAACTCATGAGCACGTCTGAAAAATTATACTTTAAAATTTAAATTGAAAACATGATTATTTGTAGAAATATACAATTATAAAAAAAATCCCCCCCCCCCTCCCCTAACTTGATATACTTGCTCCGTCCTTGATTTTGTGTGTATAGCATACAAGGAGAATAGAAGGAAGTATAGGGTTATTTATTTATTTATTTGGGTTAGGAAGGAATGTATAGTTAGATTTATAAATTAAAAATTTTAAGGATTCTTATTGTCAAGCAACTTGATCGAGTATGAATTAAATTATATATGAAAGAGAAGTTGAGTATGGACTTAGTTATACCACATATTGATCCCATTTTTGCGTTATGATTGTTCTTTGAGTTTGAGGAACATGAAACTTTTATACTTTCATATTTGAGTTAATATTTTCGTATGGTCTGAATTTTGACCAAAATAAACATTATGACCAATCTTTTCGATATATAACATCCTGGCCCGAACTATACACCAAAATGAACAATTTGGCTAGATTCGACTTTTGACCGTTAACTTGGATGGTCAAATGCTTTGACCGTTAGTCAACGCGTCATGTCACTGCCATATTCAATAATGTTTATGTTTCATGGTGTGTAGGTGTTATGAATCTCAAGATGTAGGATTGATTTTCCTAATTTGAGCCTTATATAAGTTGATCTTATGGAAGTAAACTAAGATCTTATGTCAAAATATTTGACCAACTTACTTGATAAGTGATACAGTATTTGTTAGTGTTGGATTTGCTGGCTAAATCCTTATTTTATACCTCGATTACAATTCAATTAATTAGAATGAATTAGCATCATAAATGAATATGTTCTAATTTGGAAATACAACAACTTTAGTTTCAGAGAAGTTGATAAAACCTCATTGCTCATGACAAATAATAATAGTCATTTTATTGAAGATTCACTTAGACGACTATTGTAACTGAAGTTATTAAATGTACCATAACCAACACTACCACGAACTCATATGGTACTCACTATAAAGAGATTCAAGTATTTATGATGAAAGAGCCAGCTAGGTCAAAGGCCTAATCCTCATGGAACTAATCATATATTTGAACCCCTTCGAGTCCTCGCTTCAGTCGTAGTTTTAGCCTTTATCTACCTGCATATGAGATTTAGGGGTTGCCTAGAGTGGCTTGGAAAATACAATCCCTTGCAAAGAGTCAAATGTTGATTCTTCTTTATGCCCTGACATGTTACAATCTCCACAAATGTTTACTCGTGATTTTGGATGCAACCCGAAGTTGGCTCGAGTATTGGCAAAAAGAATCTCTATAAAGTGTGCGAGATTTATCCTCATCTTCAAATAAGAAGCAAAACATGCCATCACATACAACATTTTCCTTTGTCAAGGTTTTCCATGAAATGAAAATGGGTAGCCAAAATGAGCACAAGATTTCAAATGCAAAGATGTAACTCCACCGGGACTAATCTAGTTGCTTAATGAGAAAACCCCACTAATTACATAGTTCGACAAATTCCATATAACTATCCAAAATAATACCTTCTAATAAAAAAACATCCAAATACATTATAAAAAAAACTCCAAATAACATCCAAAATCCATTAAAAGACAAATAAGTCCAAATAGCAAAAGGAGGTTAGAAACTAGGGTTCTAACGCGATCTTCTCATTGATACTCTTGACAGCGATCTTCTCATTGATACTCTTGACAGCTTTGACGAGTCTTAGATTCCGACCCTAAATAACCCAAGGAAAAACTTAGTACCACATATGAACAAATTGTTTAACTTTACAAGGGATTATTGTTCCTTACCCCTCAAACTTAAAAGGGCGATCGTCATTGCTGGCCAAAAGACAATGTAGGTTGTTGATAAAATCTGGCCAAAGAGAGTACAAGCTCCACCATTGTTTCGCAGCAGGGACGATGGCACCCTACACATTTAAATTAAACACTCACGTCTAAATGATACGAAAATTATCAATCAGAAAAAGGCAACTATTCTTACGTTCGTATCCTCTGGGTAGTGTTCAACTGCATTTCTGCAAAACCGAATGAAGTCGAACCCATTGTCATAATACCGCCCTCCCTTCGGATTATCCAGGATCTCCTTTAGTTCTGTAGTTTTCTTCGCTTCTGCTGTCCAACCACCTGCTTGGTGTACGAGATAAGAGCCCAACCCCTTATCTCCCACTACCTTGTAGGCATGTGTTAAATAACTGAGCCTCATTTCCATTGGAAGAAAAAGGGGCGACTGGCTTAGATTTCGGCAACCATCTTGCCTGAAAAGAATAAAAATAATAAAAACACACATCAGATATACAAAGCCAACAAAATAGATATACTGTTATATACGATAACCAACAAATCAGGTTAGTAACACACACCTGTATACAAAGCCAACAACATAGATATTATTATTATAAGAGATAACCAACAGATCAGATCTAACTAACCGTAATTGATTAATTAGAGGGTGAAAGATATGAGGAAGGCCGACAGATGCAAGTGTACGAGCCAAATCCTCACAGTCTCTGGTTCTTGCGCTCCCAATATCCTCGTTTGGATCACTACCATATTGAGGTCCAAACCCTCTAAGTTTTACAGTATATTCAGGATCACGGACTGTGCCAATATTAACAACCACAATATTCTTCGGATTGGATAGGTTGCGATGTACCATATTTGCTTCCCAGTGTAATTCTTCCACGGCTTTGAATAATTCCCTGTCACAAAACAAACATTTTTTTAGCACTATCCAATCTGAACAAGGAAGAAACACTACAACTTGAATCAAATATCACAAAGAGTAACATAAAGACTTGGAGATAGTTTAGTTACCGTACCTAAGGACATCGAAAACGTCAGAACGTATATACTGCTTATCATCCGAGAAAAAACCATTGGCGCAGAATTGTTGAAAATGCATTTCAAAATTCCGATAAACGAAAAACTTCTGGCCATTTTCCACATACTCGTGAACGCCTCTAAGAATGGACCGAAGTTTCAGATTGTATGCTCTTCTGAATGCAATACTTTCTGCTACATGATCGGGATTGTCTCCAACTCGGACGGACTTCAAAGTCACCTTGGACAGTTCATGCCCAAATTTGGCTCTCCAACACCGAACATTGCCTTGGTTCTCGTACTTGTCTAGTGACTTATGTGTTGTCGAATCAACACAAGGTTCATACACATGGCTTGACAACACATAAACAACGATCAACAGTACTTAGAGAAAAGAAAGTGACCTCCAAACAGAATACAAATCAACCATGTGCATTCGAGGACAAGCATGTTGTCAAGCCATGTGTATGAACCTTGTGTTGATTCGACAACACATAAGTCACTAGACAAGTACGAGAACCAAGGCAATGTTCGGTGTTGGAGAGCCAAATTTGGGCATGAACTGTCCAAGGTGACTATGAAGTCCGTCCGAGTTGGAGACAATCCCGATCATGTAGCAGAAAGTATTGCATTCAGAAGAGCATACAATCTGAAACTTCGGTCCATTCTTAGAGGCGTTCACGAGTATGTGGAAAATGGCCAGAAGTTTTTCGTTTATCGGAATTTTGAAATGCATTTTCAACAATTCTGCGCCAATGGTTTTTTCTCGGATGATAAGCAGTATATACGTTCTGACGTTTTCGATGTCCTTAGGTACGGTAACTAAACTATCTCCAAGTCTTTATGTTACTCTTTGTGATATTTGATTCAAGTTGTAGTGTTTCTTCCTTGTTCAGATTGGATAGTGCTAAAAAAATGTTTGTTTTGTGACAGGGAATTATTCAAAGCCGTGGAAGAATTACACTGGGAAGCAAATATGGTACATCGCAACCTATCCAATCCGAAGAATATTGTGGTTGTTAATATTGGCACAGTCCGTGATCCTGAATATACTGTAAAACTTAGAGGGTTTGGACCTCAATATGGTAGTGATCCAAACGAGGATATTGGGAGCGCAAGAACCAGAGACTGTGAGGATTTGGCTCGTACACTTGCATCTGTCGGCCTTCCTCATATCTTTCACCCTCTAATTAATCAATTACGGTTAGTTAGATCTGATCTGTTGGTTATCTCTTATAATAATAATATCTATGTTGTTGGCTTTGTATACAGGTGTGTTACTAACCTGATTTGTTGGTTATCGTATATAACAGTATATCTATTTTGTTGGCTTTGTATATCTGATGTGTGTTTTTATTATTTTTATTCTTTTCAGGCAAGATGGTTGCCGAAATCTAAGCCAGTCGCCCCTTTTTCTTCCAATGGAAATGAGGCTCAGTTATTTAACACATGCCTACAAGGTAGTGGGAGATAAGGGGTTGGGCTCTTATCTCGTACACCAAGCAGGTGGTTGGACAGCAGAAGCGAAGAAAACTACAGAACTAAAGGAGATCCTGGATAATCCGAAGGGAGGGCGGTATTATGACAATGGGTTCGACTTCATTCGGTTTTGCAGAAATGCAGTTGAACACTACCCAGAGGATACGAACGTAAGAATAGTTGCCTTTTTCTGATTGATAATTTTCGTATCATTTAGACGTGAGTGTTTAATTTAAATGTGTAGGGTGCCATCGTCCCTGCTGCGAAACAATGGTGGAGCTTGTACTCTCTTTGGCCAGATTTTATCAACAACCTACATTGTCTTTTGGCCAGCAATGACGATCGCCCTTTTAAGTTTGAGGGGTAAGGAACAATAATCCCTTGTAAAGTTAAACAATTTGTTCATATGTGGTACTAAGTTTTTCCTTGGGTTATTTAGGGTCGGAATCTAAGACTCGTCAAAGCTGTCAAGAGTATCAATGAGAAGATCGCTGTCAAGAGTATCAATGAGAAGATCGCGTTAGAACCCTAGTTTCTAACCTCCTTTTGCTATTTGGACTTATTTGTCTTTTAATGGATTTTGGATGTTATTTGGAGTTTTTTTTATAATGTATTTGGATGTTTTTTTATTAGAAGGTATTATTTTGGATAGTTATATGGAATTTGTCGAACTATGTAATTAGTGGGGTTTTCTCATTAAGCAACTAGATTAGTCCCGGTGGAGTTACATCTTTGCATTTGAAATCTTGTGCTCATTTTGGCTACCCATTTTCATTTCATGGAAAACCTTGACAAAGGAAAATGTTGTATGTGATGGCATGTTTTGCTTCTTATTTGAAGATGAGGATAAATCTCGCACACTTTATAGAGATTCTTTTTGCCAATACTCGAGCCAACTTCGGGTTGCATCCAAAATCACGAGTAAACATTTGTGGAGATTGTAACATGTCAGGGCATAAAGAAGAATCAACATTTGACTCTTTGCAAGGGATTGTATTTTCCAAGCCACTCTAGGCAACCCCTAAATCTCATATGCAGGTAGATAAAGGCTAAAACTACGACTGAAGCGAGGACTCGAAGGGGTTCAAATATATGATTAGTTCCATGAGGATTAGGCCTTTGACCTAGCTGGCTCTTTCATCATAAATACTTGAATCTCTTTATAGTGAGTACCATATGAGTTCGTGGTAGTGTTGGTTATGGTACATTTAATAACTTCAGTTACAATAGTCGTCTAAGTGAATCTTCAATAAAATGACTATTATTATTTGTCATGAGCAATGAGGTTTTATCAACTTCTCTGAAACTAAAGTTGTTGTATTTCCAAATTAGAACATATTCATTTATGATGCTAATTCATTCTAATTAATTGAATTGTAATCGAGGTATAAAATAAGGATTTAGCCAGCAAATCCAACACTAACAAATACTGTATCACTTATCAAGTAAGTTGGTCAAATATTTTGACATAAGATCTTAGTTTACTTCCATAAGATCAACTTATATAAGGCTCAAATTAGGAAAATCAATCCTACATCTTGAGATTCATAACACCTACACACCATGAAACATAAACATTATTGAATATGGCAGTGACATGACGCGTTGACTAACGGTCAAAGCATTTGACCATCCAAGTTAACGGTCAAAAGTCGAATCTAGCCAAATTGTTCATTTTGGTGTATAGTTCGGGCCAGGATGTTATATATCGAAAAGATTGGTCATAATGTTTATTTTGGTCAAAATTCAGACCATACGAAAATATTAACTCAAATATGAAAGTATAAAAGTTTCATGTTCCTCAAACTCAAAGAACAATCATAACGCAAAAATGGGATCAATATGTGGTATAACTAAGTCCATACTCAACTTCTCTTTCATATATAATTTAATTCATACTCGATCAAGTTGCTTGACAATAAGAATCCTTAAAATTTTTAATTTATAAATCTAACTATACATTCCTTCCTAACCCAAATAAATAAATAAATAACCCTATACTTCCTTCTATTCTCCTTGTATGCTATACACACAAAATCAAGGACGGAGCCAGTATATCAAGTTAGGGGAGGGGGGGGGATTTTTTTTATAATTGTATATTTCTACAAATAATCATGTTTTCAATTTAAATTTTAAAGTATAATTTTTCAGACGTGCTCATGAGTTTAGAATATGCTCAAACGTATACACTCTAACTTTCCTCTATAAGTAAATATATAATACACAAAATCACTTTGAGACTTTGACATAATAAGAATTATTTAAACTCACATATAAAAGTTCATGATATATCTCTTGAAAGTATTAAAAAAAAAAAGATAACCGAATTTTAAGCAGGAAATCAACGGATGGTACATGAGGGACCAAGTATAGTATCAATAGGAGTGAAGACTTTGCTCCGAAGTTCTCGGTGGCCAGGAAATCGACGATTAGTGTTTGCTCCACTAAGTTCCCGTCGGCAACTTGATGGCGGCCGCGGGGCCGTCCTCCCCTCCGCCTGAGGGGGACCCCAAGCCACCGGACCCTACTGCGGGTGTCCGTCGTCCGCCGGAGCTGTCGTCCTCTCCGGATGGCAAGAAAGCCAAGGAAGCGCAACATCCAAAAAAGAGGGTTCGAGGCCTAGAGTTCCAAGACGAGAACCAAGACATGGATGAGGTGATCGTAGAAGATTTAACAGGGACGGAGGAAGATACTGACCATACTCCCCAGTCGGGGACGCCACCGCCACAAGCCAACAAGTTCCCGGACTGTAGCCAATCACCAAACCCAGCACCGAGGCCGATGGCATGGGGAGAAGGGAGACGGAAATTGTTCAGTGAGGCTGTTCAAGAAGTCGAGTGGTATGTGGCGGACTCGGACTCGGAAGATGTTGCTGAGGCGATGCGCGAAGATGATCGGGATGAGGCCACCATGGAAGAGGATAACCCACGCTGTCCATCTATTCCATTTACTGCTGCTGAGTTTCGGAAGTACAGACGTGAGTGGCGCTCGGCGATTGTGGTGAAGATATTGGGAAGATCGTTCCCATACCCGGTGGTGGCGAGAAGGCTTAACATGTTATGGGCAAGGAACAGTATTATTCAGGTTACGAACAGGGGATACGGGTACTACTATGTGAGGTTTACGAACAAGCTAGACTACGAACACGCATTGATGGGGGGACCCTGGATGCTAGGTGATCATTACATCACGACGTGCCAGTGGAAGAAGGGCTTTAACCCTAGAACGAACGATATAAAATCAACCCTTGTCTGGCTTCAATTACCGGACCTACCGATCGAGCTCTACCACCCGGAAGCGGTCCTGCGTATTGCCAGTCGAGCGGGAAGGCCAGTCAGGCTTGACCGGGCTACTGAA